TTTTTACGACTTCACTCCAGTCACTAGCCCTGCCTTCGGCATCCCCCTCCTTGCGGTTAAGGTAACGGCTTCGGGCATGGCCAGCTCCCATAGTGTGACGGGCGGTGTGTACAAGGCCCGGGAACGAATTCACCGCCGTATGGCTGACCGGCGATTACTAGCGATTCCGGCTTCATGCAGGCGAGTTGCAGCCTTTGGTGCCTGACGGAGTCTTTTCTTGTTTCTTGGATGCTTCTCATATGTGACACCTGTCACTCTGTCCAATTGCTCTAATATCTTTTCCACTGGTAACTTTAAAGATCTCTTTTGCTTCTCATGCTTACCATTGTAAGCCTTACTCTTTCGCCTTTCGGGGTGGTTTTGAGGCAAGTAGCATCGATGGTTAGTGTATGCAGTCTTACCTTTCAAGGATTGAAAATATGGTTCATCATTGCAAGTGTAGCAAGAATAATGACCCTTTGTTCTCCACCCAGATATGTCACCAAATGCGGGCCAATCGTGTATAGTCCACATCAAAGCTGCACGCATCTGGAAAGACTCACCAGTTACGGCATCGTAAGATAATGCACCATTTTCCCACAACTCATTCAACTCATCCACCAGAGGTCTCATGTAGACATCAATATCGATCCCTGGTTGTGATTCTCCAGGAATAAGTAGTGACATCATAAGAAAGGGATCTTTCATAACCAACCAAGGTGGCAAGTTATAAGGAATGAGTACTACAGGCCATAAACTATACGAGTTGCTCATGTTCCCGAAAGGATTGAACCCATCAACAGCCAACCCTAGCCTTACATTTCGAGGCTCCAGGGCAAACTGAGGATGTTGCACATCAAATTCCTTCCATTCATCACTATCGGCGGGATGTCTCAATACTCCGTCATCTATACGTTTCTCCTTGTGCCATCTCATGTCCTCAGTAGTCTTTCTTGACATGTACAATCTTTTCAACCTTGGTGTTAATGGGAAGTACCGCAACACCTTATGGGGAATCTTCTTACCCCTGCCACGATTGATCTTGTATCTGGATGCCTTACATTTTGGACATTTATCTAACCTTGCATTTTCCTTCCAAAAGATTACACAATCATTTATACAAGCATCAATTAACTCATATGACAAGCCCAAATCTCGAAGTATTTTCTTAGCTTCATAAAATGACTTTGGAACCAAATTATCTTTTGGTAAAAGTTTTGTTAAAAACTCCAATAGTGTGTTAACCGACTTATTGCTCCAGTGGTTTGTTACCTTCATATTAAGCAGCTCGATGACAAACTTCAACAGAGTGTAGTTTGTGCAACCTAAGTACACCTCACGTTTGGCATCATTCAATAGTTTATCAAACGTTTGTACTTCCTCATTCTGGGGTGCATCGTTGGGTTCTCCTCTTATTCGATCTTCCACTAAGGCATCAATACCACCTAAAACCTCATCTTCATCAATTGCCATTTCATGATGAGCCTCATTTGATACACGTGGTTCCCCGTGCTCATGCCAAATAGTGTACGTTTGCATAATCCCATATTGAAGCAAATGAATTTGCACATTTCGAAGATTTTGGGAATAATAGTTCACGCAGTTCAAACATGGGCACGGAATTTTACCTTCCTGGTCAACAACTGCCATTGCAAATTTGATAAATGATGGCACCCCATCAATAAATGGCTGACTCATCCTTCCATCAGGTGTCTTACCCAATGCAATCCAACTCTTGTCCATGTCTGATCACAAATGAAAGATCAAGTTTTTTTATGTCATAAAACGCATCATGTGTACTATTAACCTATTCCATTTAGGAATGCACAATGTGTATCATAGAAAGAAAATCATATTACGTTGTCTATCTCTAATCTTTCCTTAGTTCTCCAAGTATATAACATATGTGTTGGACTTTTCAAGGAATTTTTTTATGCTTGTTTTTAATGCATTAAAGTGTTATATAATACTAGCATATCAGCCGTGCTATGTACGGGATTGGATTTAAAAAATCAGTGAGTTAAAAAACTAAATTATAAATTTTTTGGGGAGACAAAATACAACCTAATCATCATGTGATCAAAAAACATAGAAATTGTCGCAATCCAAACAAAAAAAAATTGTCATCAATGAGTTACAAATTTTTTTAATTGATATTTAAAAAACACAATTATTTTTTAAAAAAAAAAAAACACACCGAGTTCAAAAACCCAATCAGTTTAAAAATACAATCACCGTATATTTAAAAAACACAATTATTATTTTTTCAAAAAACACAATGAGTTAAAAAAACTTAATGAGTTTAAAAAATCACAATCACATTTTTGTACATAATAAAAAAAATAAATAAAAAAAGAAACTATTGAAAAAGAAATGAACAGATTACTTACAGATCTTTTGTGACTCTGAAAGGTTTCAGTCTTTTTCCTCAAATTTTGTCCAACTCTCTCTCCGTCTAAACTTTTCCCAGATTCTGTGAATCACATTTTTTCAAATAAAACTCTCTACTCAAAAGGAATGATGAATGCAAATAAAAAAATTATGCAATATAGAGTTGTGATTGTACAGATGCATCCTTCCATGGCGAATATATTATTTTTATCAACAATAGTTAAAAAATATAATTATTTTTTTTCAAAAAATATAGTCACTTAAAAATTCAATCATAAATTAAGTCAATTGATAATTAAAAAATACAATCATTTTTTTTTTCTCAAAAAACACAATGAGTTAAAAAACCAAATTGTAAATTTTTTTTTAGTAGACAAAATATAATCTAATTATTATGCGATCAAAAAATACAGAGATTGTTGCAATCCAAACAAATTTTTTTTTTTTATCATGAGTGAGTTACAAATTTCCACAATCACATTGGTATTTATGATCTTCTTACACTTTCTAAAGACAATGATCAATAATCACATAGAAGAAGAAGTACTTTAATCCATGTGCCTAACAAAATAAACTATGATTCAACTCTCACGAAAACTTAAAAGGAATGATAATGCAAATAAAAAAATTATGCAATATAGAGTTGTGATTGTACAGATGCATCCTACCATAGCGAAGATATTTTTTTATATCAGCAATAAAGTTAATTGGTAATTAAAAAATTTAATTATTTTTTTTTCAAAAAACATAATGAGTTAAAAATTTAATTATAAATTAAGTCAATTGATAGTTAAAAAATACAATCATTTTTTTTCAAAAAATACGGTGAGTTAAAAATCAAATTATAAATTTTTTTTAATAGACAAAATACAATCTAATCATTATGTGATAAAAAAACACAGAGATTATCACAACTCAAACAAAAATTGTTTTTGTCATTAGTGAGTTACAAATTTTTTTAATTCATATTTAAAAAACACAATCATTTTTTTTTCCAAAAAACACACTGAGTTAAAAATTGAATCAGTTTAAAAATACAATCACCGTATATTTAAAAAACACAATTATTTTTTTCAAAAACACAGTGAGTTAAAATATCCAATCAATTTAAAAAATCACAATCACATTTTTACTCATAATAAAAAAAATAAACGAAAAAAGAAACCATTAAAAAAAATAAAAAAAATTACTTACAAGTTTTTCTTTCTTTGGATTATGAAGGTATCAGCCTTCTTCTCCAGATTTTGTCCAACTCTCTCTATACTTTTCCCCAAATTTTGTTAATCACATTTTTTCCCATTAAACTCTCTCCATCTTTCGGTCAAAAAAAACTCTCTCCCTCTTTCTCTAAAGAGTTATTTATTTTATTTGAAGTTATATGTAATACATGGGGGATGGTGGAAGGAGTTGAATAGGCTGCGCAGTAGGTAGGGGAAGTCAAAAAGGTTGTGACAGTAGGATTAAGGTTATTCAATTTTGAAAAAGTTCAAATTAAATGGTGAGTGGGATTATTAATTTTTAAATCAAAAAATTATTAAATGAGAATTGGGATATTAGTGTTCTCTCAAGACTTGAAAAGGGTGTGTATGGAAAGTCAAAAAGATTTGAGAGAAGTCAATAAGTACTGAAATTTTTTTTAAATCAAAAAATTAAGAAATTAAGATTGAGACATTAGAGATCTCACAAGACTTGTGGGTTAAATCAAAAAATTAAAATAAAAAAATCAGGAAATTTAGATTGGGAGATTGGAGCTCTCACAAGGCTGGGGGTTAAAAGTCCCCTTTTGCTTAATATATAGTATATATATAGATAGATAGATAGTTTTAAGATTTTTTATAAAAATAATTTAACAATCTTATTATTAACTATAGTGTATAGGAGAAGTTGAAAAGAGTACTGTAGTAATTATACACGGATTGTGTCTATAATTATTTGTTTGAGGGGATTTTAAAAGTTGATCAGGGGATTTTGACGTGGTATTACCATTATATTGAATTTTTAATCAAATTTTGTATCAAAAAATAATTTATCATTATATAATTTATTTTAAGGCTTGCATCCATATTTTTTTTTTGGTATTGTTCATGATACACTAGTTACAAATAATTTTTTTTTTTTTATTGTTCATGATACACTAGTTACAAATAATATTATTTTTTTGATGTTTCTCGAAATCAATTGTAAAAACTTGTGTGAAATATTTTTGTAAAATTTTTTGATATTGCAATTAATAAGTATATTTTTTTTGTATTGTCTATGATACATTAATTACAAATAACATTTATTTTTTTGATGTTTCTCGAAATCAATCGTAAAAACTTACGTGAAATATTTTTGTAAAATTTTTTGATATTGTAATTAATAAGTGTCTCCTCTAATTTAATTTTCTGGCTCTGCCACTGCATACAGTCAATGCTTCCCAATATTTCAAGAAACCCACGATTTTTTCCCACGGCTACTAATTAAGCAAATGTCATCTTTGTTTGGTGTCCTCAAGTACACATTTGAAAAAATTGCAACCACTGCCTCAACAACCCTTTGTTAACTTTCTATTGCAGTGTTTTCTCCAACCCTCACATAATCATCTACAGAATTTGCCACTACTCCATAAGTGAACATCCTCATAGCAGCTGTCATCTTTTGTAAGGAAGACAGACCAACAACTCCAACAACATCTTATTTCTGGGCAAAATAAGGATCATACGCTTCCACCATAGATAAAATATGAAGAAAGAGACATCAATTCACCTGGAACCTCCTCCTGAATAAATTGAGAGGATATGTACGAGTTTCAGATAAGTAATCTTGATAAAGTCTTTTGTGGCCTTGAATTCGATTACGATAAATAACCGCTTGACCTTGAGTGGAACCACAATGTAATCCCAATCGTCTCTCATTATTTAGTTGTTCTTCTTCTGAAGCAGCTATTGCAAATATCTCCAATTCCCTATCAGAATCAGAGTCATCAATAATCATGTTCATTACACTATTGCGAGCCGTATCAGACAACTTCAATTTTCTACAAAGTCAAATGTATATAACATATCAAACAACTTCCAAAATCAAAACACCAACAACTTACACAATTTGTATTTGATTCATCAACTAATAGAAATGACCTGTAAATAAGTAGCACTTTAATCCAACATACAACAAGCAATTATATTTAGCCCTGGAGTACTTTAGCAAGCATTTAATAAGAATTTCACTCAGTAATTAAATTACTACCAGTTTAAGCATTCAACAATATGTAGTTCCAAAATAGCTTTTAACATATAATAATTAGTTCCAACATAAACTACATAAAAAAACATAGTTCTGCCTACAATGGAGAATCAAATCCAACAATAAATAAAGTCAAAAACATAGATCCAACAACTAAATCTTTTTTTGGTAGTTTCAACAACTAAATCGTTTTTTGGAGAATTTCCATTTGGCGGCAATGAACATATTTTGCTTGCAATGGAGGCAGACCACTCGTATCTATTGACATTATTCGCTCTTCCTCCTTCAATTGTTCTATTCGCATCTTCTCTTTCTCATTATCGACCTTTTCTTGTTCTGTTTGCGTCCTCTTTTTCTCATTATCAATCTTTTCTTGCTCTTGAAGATACGACCTTTCATATATTTCTATTTTCTTGTCATTCATTTTCTTTCTATCTTCTTTTAAATCCTCTAATAATATTAAAATAGGCGACCCTCCTTCATTTCCACGATCTTTATTCTTTCTTTTATTCAAACGTTCCTTTTCAGTCTTCCTACCTGGTGGTCTTTCCAAGTCTACATTGTCATTATGTGAGGCATCATTGTCCTCTAAATTGATTGTACCCGGTGTACAAGGACAACAAACACTCGGAGTTGCCACTTTTTTTGTTTTTTGTTTCTTCATGCTATATTCCTCTCGCCATTTTGGTTGATCTCTTAACTCATGCCAACAATGTTCAAATGAAAATGACGATTTATACAACTCTTTGTATAATTTCTTCGCATCATCAATCTGAATAATAGATAAAATAACACTAATTATCATGAGATTAGACAATTCCAACGATAATAAGTATAAAAAGTTTCAAGGGCATTAATACCTTCTCTTTTTCAGTCTTTCCACTTTGATTCAACCTTTGGATTTGGGCGAAGCACCCATTGAACCTATTCGTGGCAAGTTGAATGGCTGACCAACGATTCATCAAAGAAGTTTGACTATGACTAGATGAAAATGTTTTGAGCTGGTGGAAATATTCCCACTCTTAACCAATATGCCTTTGAATGTTGTTCATTCCCTTGCACTGGATCTAAGCTAATGTTAAGCCAAGCCGATATGATCATGCTGTCTTCTTCTGTAGTGAAGTTCCTACCTCGTTGTGATTTCTCGGTGGTTTCTATTTGAGGAGAGATTGGGGAAGCTGGATCCCCTTGGTGAAGAGGTTCATCCACAAATTCATAGTCAGCCGCTTCACTCATCAGGTTGGTGTAATATGCACCATTTTGTTGATGATTCATCTATATATAATAAGGTAAACATTTTTTCAATTATTAGAATTGCAAATTGAAACATTATGGTAATGTTTATATGCATGTGACTTTGTTATATTAAAAAAATATCAGATTCGATATAACTAGCACAACTAATGAGAGTATGGTGGCAGCAGATGGAAATTGAACATGTTTCAGACCACAAGTTTCGGTTCAGAATCGTGGGTCAGTTCCGAGGTGATAATAGATGGAAGCTCAATGATATTGATGGCAGTGAGTACAACCAAAAAAAAAAAAAAAACACTCTTTATACTCTGCTATTTCTTAGCGTATTTCCAAGATGTTGATGGGTTTAATGCTTTATCAGATATTACGTTTTGGGTTCCTTTCTATTTGTTGCAGATCACTCCAACAAGTTATGCCATTTTTGCATTGATTTACTTTAATCGACTTGGAATACTTTTTCTTCGTGATTGCCTAGAAATGTTTTACAATTGACAATTATATATGAATTTTGAATACAGAATCAGATTCAACAGCAACAATTGACAATTATATAATCATGACTCTAGTACTAGTACAAGTACAAGTAGTAGTGGTGGTGATATTGTCATTATCAGCAGCAACAATTGTAGCACTACCTTCCCAGGAGAAAAAGTTTAAAGCAAAATTCAAACATTCCAATAAAAACATTTCAACATAGTGTTTTCTTTCTAAAGCGAATCAATCAGGAAAAGAGTACATGGATGTTAAAATAAAATGAGCTGAGATCTTAAAGCAATAGTTGAAGTACTAAAATATGTTGTATATTTTTTTTGGTGTGGAGTGGGTTCTAAAGAAACAACAAAATCAAAATGAATTGGATAATTTGCCATTTCACAAGAATCAGCAGGCTATAATTCAATAGAAAGGGACCCATCAATAATATGACATGTATTAACTCAACTATATGAATTTTGGCTTCCACATCAAGATACCAAATTGACTGCAAAAAGTAGATGCAAGCTTTCCACTTCCCACAGATTTATGGAGCATAAGTCAATGGTGCCATCTAAAAAAACACATACAAAATAGTACAAGAAATCTGCGTAATCCCATCCAAAATTATGGTTCCGATGCCTAATCCCATACTTCAACCTAAAACTCCAAAGAGAGTTGGCTAATGTTCAAAATCATCTAGATAATCCCCTTCCACGTTGAAGGACTTGACATGTGAAACTAAGGTGAGATATACATGGTCATATATTATTAGATTATAATTTATCAAATTAGATATTAATTATGTTTTAAAAAAAAATCAATGCTATATAACCATGAGACATATAACAAGTCCAATAACCATTATAACAACCATAAAATCGTTCACTCTAATGAAAATCAAACTTTACACATGTTGAACCCCAAAATTTCAACAATTTTAATAGTAATATCATCAATCTAACGCCAATCAACCACATGACTTGAGCACATGTAAAAGGAGTATAACAAGAATATTCGGAACTTGAACTAGATAGGAAATTGTCGCCATAGTATGGACAGTAATGAATGATTTAATTAGTGGTAATAATAGACAAATTTTAGTCTATCCTTCATACTACATATTAAAATTAGCAGACATGTTTTAGGTGGGGTTCTTTGAAATAAGACTCTACACTCTACAGGTCCTTGCTTTGCCCTGTCTCTGTCTAGATTCAAAAGAGGGCAACAATCTTTGCATTTCTACAAATAATAAATATTTTTATGGAAGAAGCATTATCACATTCACATTTCCATTAACCCATTCATGCTTGGGCCACATTTCTCTGCTCCAGAACAACCGATAAAGTTTCTTCTAATCCCACTTACAAGATCAAATTAATTAACCAAAAAAAAAAAAAACATAAACTTTCACATCAAAAACAATCACAACTTAGAAAAAGTATCCAAATTCCAAAAAAGCCAATACTCAAAGCATGCCCATATGAAATGCAATGCTAAAAATAGACTCTGCTAACCTTCATGATCTAATTGCACTAAGCAAAACCTTTACATGACACTGAACCATGCATAGTTTGAATACAATGATGTAAAAAAATGAGTGAGAGAAGGGTTTCACAGGTTTAAGGGGAAAAAAATATAGTTAGTGTGCAAATGAAATCCACAATTCACAGTTGAAGGGGGATCACAGGGAGAGAAATAGGGGGTTAGTAGAGAGGTTTGGGAAGAGGGTTTCACATATAGGAGATGTCGGAAGACATGGTTTGGTGGTACAGAGTGAGGGAGTTGCAGAGATGGGGAAAGGAAGGTTCAACATAGGGTTTTGCAAGTAGGTGCCTTGAAGAGGGAGTGATGAGTGCGACAGGGTTTTGCCGACCATGAAGAGGAAGAATAGATAGATTGAGAAGGATTAACAGGCCTTTTAACTAGCCCGTTGGAGAGCCCAAAATGTATTGTGGTTGGCTAAAATACTTAACAGGCTTATTTTAGCCCACCCTTTGGAGTTGCTCTCGTGTATTTGGTTAATTTTATTGAGACTTTATGTAAAATTCAAAATGATGTCCATCTTTTTATTATTTATTTTGAATGCTATTAATGTTAAGAATTAAATTGTAACATATCATAAATTTTGGAGACCAAAGTAAATAAATTTCAAAATTAAAAATTAAAGTGTTCCTATATTTTATAGATAATAATAATAATATTATTATAGAGATTTTGTTTTTTAAGATCCATGATATTAAGATTTTATAAGATAAATGACATACAATATTTTCATAATAGTTAAAGTCCTTCAATATTTTCGACTCAGAGAAATTTTGTCCGACTAAGAGAAATTTCAAAATTTCACAAAAAAATTTAGAAATTTCGCTAGTATAATTATAGAGTATTTCTCTGTAAAAATTGAAATTTATCTAAGTCAGGGTCGAAATTTCTTTGAATTGGACAAAATTTCTTTAAGTCGAATTTTCTTTATGAAAATGTTAAAGGATCTTAACTAATACAAAAATATATTAGATCTCTCCTACTACCAAATAAAATTAGAATGGGATATTTTACTATTTTTTTTCTATTATTATTATTATTATTATTTATTTTCACAAAAAAGTGGAGCTAATATGATGAAGATCCGCACATGCTGCTTCTTGTTGAGAAAACCCAATCAAATATCAGTTGACATACAGCCCAAAAGTTGACTGAAATCGTTAATTCTTTATCATTCTCCTTTTTGCCACCATGATGTTTTATGTGATGTAGTGTCATTTTATAATTGGTTGGTATTTTTTTTTAAATTAAAAATTAATAATAAAAAAGTAAAATTTAAGACCACTCCGTCGATTTTCAAATAATCAACTTATATAGGTAACTTTTAAACATTAAACACTTTAATACAAAATATTTTAAAATAAAAAAAATTATGACTATAACTCAATAAACTGCTACAACAAATATTATTTGCTCAAGCTTTATTCACTTGTAGCTTGACCAACAAACTCATCATAACATCTAAACTTGAATGCCAACAAGTAACATTCACTCTATTTGTTTTCAATTTTTAGAATTTACTTCTCAAAAAATTTTACTTTTTATTTTTCATTTTTCATATATATATATATATATATATATTTTGTTTTCACTAAATTTTAATTTTTTTGATATTTTAAACTATTTTTTTTTTAAATTTTTAGACACACCTAACATAAATACATTAAAAAAGTATAATATTTGTAAAAAAAGTCTTTAAAAAATTCACTAAATACCAAAAATAAAATAAAAAAATACAAAAATTCAGTATATTTTTCATATTTTAGTGTATTTATTAATTTTTTAAAAATATTTTTTTACAAATATTTTACTATTTAGATACATCTAAGTATACTTTTTAAAAAAATTCAATTTTCAAAAACTGAATTCAGAAAATTGAAACCAAACACATTCAGTGTGTTTGGTTTGAGTTTTTTGAATTAAGTTTTTTGAAAACTCAATTTTTTGGTTTTCGTGTTTTTTTATTTTTAGTGAATATTTTTAAAATTTTAAACATTTTTTTTTTACTTTTTTAGATGCACTTTATTTAGATGTATCTAAAAAGTAAAAATTTTGTGAAAAAATATTTTAAAAATTTAATAAATACATAAAAATACAAAAAATGTATTGAATTCTCGTATTTTTTTTTATACTTTTGGTATTTAGTGAATTTTTAAAAGGTTTTTTCACAATTTTTTTACTTTTTAGGTATATTTATGTTAGGTATGTCTAAAAAGTAAAAAAAATTACTTAAAATATTAAAAAAATTCAATAAAAACAAAAAAATACGAAAAATAAGAAAGTAAAATTTTCTGAAAAGTGTTTTTGAAAAAACACAACCAAGCAAGCTGATTAATTTTTTTCCCCCCTCACTCTTACAAAGTCAATATTCTTCCATTTATTTCGATATATTAGAACTTTTTCTTAGTAATGGTATTGAATTTGATTGTTTTAAAACCTTCGGTAGTGCTACATGCACCAATTAGTGTACTAACTAATATACCAACTGTTGTTATGATATTGTTATTGACCCCACTCATTAATTACATTACAAATACCAAATACCTCTTAAATTATGTCACATTATCAATTGGTATACTAATTAGTATACTAATTGGTACACAGCATTATTCTAGAAACTTTTATGCTCTATACAAGTGATAGATGAGAATCCGAGCATATCAAATTCTTTTACAGACTACCTATACTCCTACATAATCTTTTGCGTATTAATTTTTGTTTTGTATGTAAGGACTATTTTTGTTTTGCTCTTCTGGTCTGTGTTAATCAGTTTTTTGTTGACAACGTTTGAGTTAACCCCAAAGTATGTATGTCAGTTCGAATAATCATTATCACTATTATTGTTGATTTCATTAAATTGTTGAATTATCTACATTTATTATTTATACCCTACCTTAACTTTCAGTCTATAAAATTTCAAACAACATTATTCAATGCATGCATAAGCAGGAAGTTCACAAAATATTTGATATCTCATTTGTATACATAAGATTTTTTTGACAGTGAAATCAGATAATGACCAGAAGAGAGCATGCCCCATCTATTGGTGAATTATTAACAAGAGAGGTTAATAATATTTGGTATAAAACTTGAGAAGGATGGATTAAGTGTAAAATCCTGAAGGTTGTGCAATTATTGCATACCTATTTCAATGCTCACTATGCAACAGAAAACAATTCAATGCTCCCTATTCTTTCCTCATCCTTATTGAGTTATTATGCTTGGTCCATGATTTCTTCTTTTGTCAAGTGTTGGTTGATCTCGGTTGCATGGACTCTCCATTTGAGCCCAAAAGCAAAATTCTTTTAATAAGGTAGGAAGCCAATGTTTATATTTCTCACAAGATGGAACCAAAAAAATAACAATAATAACAGTGAGAACTTCGACATCTAAAAAATACGCGTTTGTCTTTTATTTTTTTTTCTTCAGTCCAGGTGACTAGATGCAAACAACATTAGATTTCAGCGGTCAGTTTCCAATACCGGGTGAAAGAATGCTATTTCTTGTTCTCCTAATAGTTCATCCAGATGAGAAATTGCTCCATAATTGTAATACCCTAGGTTTGATTGCAGTTATTTACCACATAAGGCTATTAAATGACACATGCGATATGGACTACTCCCCAAATAAGACAGTAACGAGTACGAGGCTCATATATGATGAAATGTTGATTTAGAAATTAGTTCATAGTTCCAACACACGCACACCAAACAATATTTGCTTCCTAATATCACCTTCTCCATAGGATTACAGACAGATCAGTACCTCAGATTCAGCCAATTGAAGGTCAGCACATTTCTTTTTGTACAGCACCTCTGTTCTTTTAAGGCTATTGGTTTTCTGGATAAGAGAACTCAACTGAGAACTTGATTCTTCCAACCTGGAAAAAATAATGAAGCAAACATAAGTTCTCAGTCCAATTAACTCAATCAAGGACAGACTTGTCTTTGAACATAGTCCACCATAACTTGATCAATGAAACAAAAAATACAAGGAACGTTACAAAAGTAAAAGAAGTGGAAATAAATAAACAAGCTGAAAAAATGACACCAAAATAAATAAATAAATAAAATGTAGCTAATGATTGAGGGGGAAAAAAAAAAAAGACACACTTAACACATCCAATAAAAAAGAAATACTGAAATTGCCAAATGAAGGGCCCAAACATGCAGATTTTATAAAATTAAAGGCACATAAACCAGTCTCAAGTTCAAGGCAGTGCAAACCTTAAGAAGGCATATTTAGGGAGTAATGTAGATTTATTTGGAATATTCAAAGTTTAAAAATAAAAAGTCTATTAGTAATTGTAATTACCTCAAATTATTCTTTTTGATACCCTCACCTGCTCGACGTTCAAAATCAGAAAATGCTTTTGAAAGTCCATGGACAAGAACGATTACTGCTTGCATTTGCTTACTCTGTTCATTTTCTTTCGCTCCAAGCAATAATATAGCATTTTGCATCTCCTGGATAACAGCCATAAGCTGATTTCTCTGTTCATCAGCTTCCCTTAACTCATTTGTCTTTAGTTCAAGCTTCTGATTCAATTTGTTCATTTCCGCCTTATCAACATCAATTTGCTCCAGCACCTGTTCCAACTCACCCTTTGTTAAATCTAATTCCTTGCTTCTCTCAGAAACTAATGTTTGCAGCAAACTTGCCTGGTCCTTTAAATTGTTGCTCTCCTGAGAAGCTAGCTCAAATCGAACCCTTTCTTCCTGGATAACAGCCATAAGCCAATTTCTCTGTTTATCAGCTTCCCTGAAATCATTTGTCTTTAGTTCAAGCTTCTGATTCAATTTGTTCATTTCCGCCTCATCAACATCAATTTGCTCCAGCACCTCTTCCAACTCACCCTTTGTTAAATCTAATTCCTTGCTTCTCTCAGAAACTAATGTTTGCAGCAAAATTGTCTGGTCTTTTAAATTGTTGCTCTCCTGAGAAGCTAGCTCAGATCGAACCCTTTCTTCATCCAATGCAGCTGATAGTTCAAGTGCTAACTTGTCCTTTTCTTTCAGCGATGCTTCAAGTGAAAGGACTTCCTGCTTTAATCCATCCTTCTCTTCAATCATCAATCTTGATTCCTCTTCATTTTTCAGTGCTTTCAGTTCAAGGGAAACTAGGATTTCATTTTGATGCAAATACTTTCGGTTCAAGTCATTGATTTGTGACTGGGCGGCATCCTTAATAGCTTCCTTGAAAAAAACGCCACACAGCCCTTGCATGACCAAGGATTCAATATCTGAATCTCCAATTTCACACTTGCTGGTAGCTTCAGCATCTTGAGAAGCTTCTCTATAAATGATTTCATAGACTTCTTGCATGGCAATAGATTGCAACGCTAACTCTTCAGTGTCACAGTTGATCAGGGCAGTTACCTCCCTCAGAACACATTTATATACCTCCTCAGAGACCAAAGCTTCTATCTCTCCGTCTTCGGCAGCAGATTTAAGATTACTTATCAATTTTAGCAAATTTGCTTCTGCCAAAGCATCGTGTGACATCTGGTCAGAAGCATCAGAAACTTGTGATGACAGACACTTCACTTCCTTTCGTTTATCTGCAAGCGACTCCCTGAGTTGGCGATTTTCTGAAAGAAGGCTGTTGAGCCTATCATTTAAGTTGCCAAGAGACTCGACATTGTTGCTCAATGTAGCAATTTTCTCATTTTCCACAAGGATGTCATCCAATTTCAAAATGACCTCCGGGATCTTCTTCCTCAACATGTCCAAATCTTTATCCTTCCGAAGTGGCAAAGAAGATCCCTTCTCCTTTTTTTTTTAAGTATTCCCGCTTAAGACCGAAATAATCTTCAGTCAATTTGTGTACCTTAGATTCATGGTTCCTCCTCATCTTTGTTACCATAGTATTAAAATAATTCACCATTTCACCCTTTGACATATGCTTGAATTGGGCAGCATCCCAGTTCTCAGGCATATCATTTTTAGACTCTTCAAGTTTACCATTTCCATCCAAAATTGAAGTTGATGGCAAAACACGATTGCTCAAAGCTTTGCGGTGAAAATGATCCATGTCATGAGACCCATGAGAAATTAACTGTCCAGTTTCAGCATTGGATAGTGACTTCAAGATCACATCTAATTCCTTGCATAAATTTGAAACCTCGTTGATCCTTTCAAGCCAGTTCACGCTTTGGCTGCCACAAAGATGAGCATTTTGATCCCATAATTTATCTTCAAACTCTTTGTGGATACTCCTAATTGAACTCCATACCACCAATGTTTCAAACTCCCTCTGAAACTCCTGCTCCTGCTGCCACTCACAAAGTGATGCCTTAGCCAAGCGAACCATATCATCCGCCTGTGTACAGACAGTATCCACTGTAGTTTTCAGAGTATTGAGTCTTTTATCTACACCCACCAAGCTTTCAGATGCCTCCATTGGAAGAATTCCACCCAATCCCACCAATTCTGAACCAGAACCAATCTTTCTCATTGAACCACACCCTCTTATGCTATCAATATCTTTCCTGAGCTTCTTAATCTGGTCCACGGCCACACTTCTTAGGCCGCATAAAGATTCCCTCATCTTATCATGCTCCACTACAGCATCAGGAAAGCTACAATCCAACCTATTTTCCAAACTTCTTTGCTCTCGGTGTGCCATTGGAGACCCTGATGACACACTTCTATCAGCACCCAATTTGTGAAAATGCAATCTCTCCTTCAGACTGGCCACCTCCAATTCTTTGGCAGCAATTTTCTCCTCCGCCACTCGTTCAACAGCTTTCACCATCCTCGAAATAGTCAACCAGTCATTAATATCTTCCAAATAGGAATCCAAACCCTCCAAAAGGTCAACACCCAAGTTCTCATTTTCTCTAACACTACTGACCTCTTGCTCTAATCCATCACTAATTGAAGTGACAACACTACCCACATCTGTCAAACCCACCATAACCTCTTCACTCTATATCTATATCTATATCTGTATATCTTTTTTTGTTTAAAAAAAATAAAATAATTAAAGAAACACCAAGAACACAGAAAATTAAGCTCAATTCAACATTTTAACCGTATAAACTGAAACAAAAACAGAAATTGAACTTCAAATGTAAGAAAAGAGAACTTACAGGCGAAGAAAGATGAACTCAGAATCACTTTTCAACAGTCAAAAAGTGATTCCAAAAGCCCTAAACGACTGTTCAAAGTCTCTGGTTCGCTCTAGCAATGCTTTCTAGCACCATTAACCTTAAATATTCAACAGTATGGGGCATTCATTCATAATATCACTTTAATTTATCGCATTTATTATAAATATATTAAAATTAATTTTAATGTTCAAGTTTTAAATAAAAATTCAAAAGATAAAATATTATTTATTTAAGATAGTATACATGAAACTAATATTTCAGTTCTCAAAACGATTTGTTAGAAGATTGGGTCACAATTAATGAAAATTATTCCCAAAATCAACAATCTTTCTACTAGTCAAGATGTTCAAACTATTCAACAATTTAATGATGGTTCAATTCATATACACTTTAATTGTCTTCCTAATCACTTATCCCGTCACAGTACTTCTAATGTCCCCACCGACTTAGAAGATGATGAAATATTTAATACACCTCTATTTACTCACAAAGATAGGAAAATTCATCTTTGTAAACATTCAGATAGTAAATTAAAAGAAATAGATAATTCATCTACTTCCCAAGTTAGTAAACAAGTTTATTCAACTTACATACATCTCCATGAAGATGAAACCACATCTCAGGATTCACCTACTCAGATTGATTTTGAAGTTGAAGTTGTTCCTCCTGTTAACTCACAATTATTAACTCTTAGTAAACCTTTTACTCCAAATCTTAATAAAGTCCATGCTAAATTTAAATCTAAAGCAAATAAGTTTAAACGACAAACCTAGAGAAATAATTATAATGAACACCAACAATCCAAGATTACCAAAAAATGGTATAAATTTATGAACGAAACAAATACTGAAATTCACTTATTTGATTATCTTGAAAATTATTATCAAAAGATAAATACTATTACAAAAACTAAATAGAAAACTTTCCCTAATACTTTTGTTTCTTCCGGTCATCGCCCACTAGAAACTATTATCATTGAACATAAAGGTGCTATTGTACATGTTTCTCCCTTTAAACTTCTTGGCGATGAATCTGAAATCAAAAAAGTAATTGAACAAAATAATTATACCAATCAATATTTAAAAACCATTGATAAACAATTAGATAAAATATAAACTTCTTTTGAAGATTACTCCACTAGTCATACATCCACTTGTAAACTTTTAGACAAACCTCTTATTAATTTTCCTAGCACTAGAAAACGATTAAGCTTAGTTACCCAAGACACTAATACTGTTGAAACTATTGAACAATTATTTACTAAGATATTTACTATATCTAACGAAAAAGGAATTAATGTCCTAACACAACAACCACCTGTTGAATTTAGTAGTGACTCTGACACATTCACAAATGAAATTGGTCAATTAACCCAACAATTCCAGACTACTAATCTTAACCGAATCACACATCCCAAAGTTAATCCTACTACTCTTACCAAAAATTAGTATCTATAGACACCCCATTTTTGAGGGCCTTTACGACTTGGACGTCATCGTTTGCATACCCGATGATGAGTCTATATGCTTGTCAAGTGTTCGAAGTCCTTAGCGGAATGCCACAACTTTGAGCTTTTCAAACCTTGTACCCGTGTTGCCTTATTTTGAACCAAACCCAGTGATCTTCAAGCCTGCAACCTCTGGTGGCCTGCCGGCCACTTCTATGGGCTGCCAGCCATTGCTCTTGGTTGCCGGTCACCAATGTCTTCTGCAGATATTTTGTGACAGCTGTGCTAACTGTTTGCACAGATACTTGCATCTGCTCCTACGCGTATGGCTAGATGTTTATGAGGGGGTGGCTTGGTTTTCTATATATAGATGACCTCCTTCTCATATTTGGAGGTTAGAAAAATGCTGGAGCAAAATTTTTCCTCTCTCTCTACAATTCTCTCTCTCTTTTGCAAATTTCTTAACCTTTGCTTATACACTCTTCATCTTTGCCTATACACTCTTAACCAAACCTCTCCATCCCTGGACGTGTTTTATCTCGGGACACGTGAAGCGAGAGCCCATTCGGTTTCTCTTGTATCTCAGGACGCGTGGCCCTGGGCGTGTTTTATCTTGGGACGTGTGAAGCGTGAGCCCAAGCGGTTTTTCTTGTTTCTCATAACGCATGAAGCGCGGGCCCGAACGATTTTTCTTGTTTTTTGAGACGCGTGAAACGCGACCCCAAACGGTTTTCATTCCTCTGTTTCTCAAGATGCGTGAAGTGCGACCTTGAGCGATTTTCATCTCAGGACGCGTGAAAAGCGACTTCGAGCGATTTTTGTTTCTCAGTTTCTCAGGACGTGTGAAGTGCAACACTGAGCTGTGTTTTCTTTTCTCGTCTCGTGTTTTGGCGTGGTCAGAGGGTGTTTTAGATCTTTTTGCATGGAACCTATGTTGGTTTTAAGCTTGAAGTTGCTAGTTCATATGTTGTTATCTCGTTATATTGCTTATTTACTTATTGCATCATCTTACATGAGCATGAGTTTTCAAAATAGCCGGCTTACTCTCCATTTGAGCCCAAAAGCAAAATTCTTTTAATAAGGTAGCAAGCCAATGTTTATATTGCTCACAAGATGGAACCAAAAAAATAACAATAATAACAGTGAGAACTTTGACATCTAAAAAATATGCGTTTGTCTTTTATTTTTATTTCTTCAGTCCAGGTGACTAGATGCAAACAACATTAGATTTCAGCGGTCAGTTTCCAATACCGGGTGAAAGAATGCAATTTCTTGTTCTCCTAATTGTTCATCCAGATGAGAAATTGCTCCATAAGTCTGACATTGTAATACCCTAGGTTTGATTGTAGTTATTTACCACATAAGGCTATTAAATGACACATGCCATATGGACTACTCCCCAAATAAGACAGTAATGAGTACGAGGCTCATATATGATGAAATGTTGATTTAGAAATTAGTTCATAGTTCCAACACACACACACCGAACAATATTTGATTCGTAATATCACGTTCTCCATAGCATAACAGACAGATCAGTACCTCAGATTCAACCAATTGAAGGTCAGCACATTTCTTTTTGTACAGCACCTCTGTTCTTTTAAGCTTATTGCTTTTCTGGGTAAGAGAACTCAACTGAGAACTTGATTCTTCCAACCTGGAAAAAATAATGAAGCAAACATAAGTTCTCAGTCCAATAAACTCAATCAAGGACAGACTTGTCTTTGAACATAGTCCACCATAACTTGATCAATGAAACAAAAAAATCATGGAACGTTACAAAAGTAAAAGAAGTGGAAATAAATAAACAAGCTGAAAAAATTACACCAAAATAAATAAATAAAATGTAGCTAATGATTGAGGGTAAAAAAAAAAAAGGACACACTTAACACATCCAATAAAAAAGAAATACTGAAATTGCTTAATGAAGGGCCCAAACATGCGGGTTTTATAAAATTACAGGCACATAAACCAGTCTCAGGTTCAAGGCAGTGCAAACCTTAAGAATGCATATTTAGGGACTAATGTAGATTTCTTTGGAATATTCAAAGTTTAAAAATAAAAAGTCTATTAGCAATTGTAATTACCTCAAATTATTCTTTTTGATACCCTCAGCTGCTCGACGTTCAAAATCAGAAAATGCTTTTGAAAGTCCATGGACAAGAACGATTACTGCTTGCATTTGCTTACTCTGTTCATTTTCTTTCGCTCCAAGCAATAATATAGCATTTTGCATCTCCTGGACAACAGCCATAAGCCAAATTCTCTGTTCATCAGCTTCCCTTAACTCATTTGTCTTTAGTTCAAGCTTTTGATTCAATTTGTTCATTTCCGCCTTACCAACATCAATTTGTTCCAGCACCTCTTCCAACTCACCCTTTGTTAAATCTAATTCCTTGCTTCTCTCATAAACTAATGTTTGCAGCAAACTTGCCTGGTCTTTTAAATTGTTGCTCCTCTGAGAAGCTAGCTCAAATCGAACCCTTCCTTCGTCCAATGCAGCTGATAGTTCAAGTGCTAACTTGTCCTTTTCTTTCAGCGATGCTTCAAGGGAAACTCGAATTTAATTTTCTTGCAAATACTTTCTGTTCAAGTCATTAATTTGCGACTGGGCATCCTTAATAGCTTCCTTGAAAATAACTCCGCACAGACCTTGCATGATCAAGAATTCAATATCTGAATCTCCAATTTCACACTTGCTGGTAGCTTCAGCATCTTGAGAAGCTTCTCTATAAATGATTTCATAGACCTCTTGCATCGCAATAGATTGCAACGCTAACTCTTCAGTGTCACGGTTGATCTGGGCAGTTACCTCCCTCAGAACACATTTATATACCTCCTCAGAGACCAAAGCTTCTATCTCTGCGTCTTCCGCATCAGATTTAAGATTACTCATCGATTTTAGCAAATTTGCTTCTGCCAAAGCATGGTGTGACATCTGGTCAGAAGTATCAGAAACTTGTGATGATAGACACTTCAATTCCTTTCGTTTATCTGCAAGCGACTCCCTGAGTTGGCGATTTTCTGAAAGAAGGCCGTTGAGCCTATCATTTAAGTTGCCAAGAGACTCGACATTGTTGCTCAATGTAGCAATTTTCTCATTTTCCACAAGGATGTCATCCAATTTCAAAATGACCTCCGGGATCTTCTCCCTCAACATGTCCAAATCTTTATCCTTCCGAAGCGGCAAAGAAGATCCCTTCTCTTTTATTTTTAAGTATTCCCGCTTAAGACCTAAATAAACTTCGGTCAATTCTTGTACCTTAGATTCATGGTTCCTCCTCATCTTTGTTATCATAGAATTAAAATAATTCACCATTTCATCCTTTGACATGTGCTTTAATTGGGCAGCATCCCAGTTCTCAAGCATACCATTTTTAGACTCTTCAAGTGTACCATTTCCATCCGAAATCAAAGTTGATGGCGAAACATGATTGCTCAAAGCTTTGCAGAGAAAATGATCCATGTCATGAGACCCATGAGAAATTAACTGTCCAGTTTCAGCATCGGATAGTGACTTTAAGATCACATCTAATTCCTTGCGTAAATTTGAAACCTCATTGATCCTTTCAAGCCAGTTCACACTTTGGCTGCCACAAAGATGAGCACTTTGATCCCATAATTTATCTTCAAACTCTTCGTGGATACTCCTAATTGAACTCCGTATCACCATTGTTTCAACCTCCCTCTGAAACTCCTGCTCCTGCTGCCACTCACAAAGTGATGCCTTAGCCAAGCGAACCATATCATCCACCTGTGTACAGATAGTATCCACTGTAGTTTTCAGAGTATTGAGTCTTTTATCTACACCCTGGTTCAGATGCCTCCATTGGAAGAATTCCACCCAATCCCACCAATTCTGAACCAGAACCAATCTTTCTCATTGAACCACACCCTCTTATGCTATCAATATCTTTCTTGAGCTTCTTAATCTGGTCTATGGCCACACTTCTTAGGCCGCATAAAGATTCCCTCATCTTATCATGCTCCACTACAGCATCAGGAAAGCTACAATACAACCCATTTTCCAAACTTCTTTGCTCTCGGTGTGCCATTGGAGACCCTGATGACACACTTTTATCAGCACCCAATTTGTGAAAATGCAATCTCTCCTTCAGACTGGCCACCTCCAATTCTTTGGCAGCAATTTTCTCCTCCGCCACTCGTTCAACAGCTTTCACCATCCTCGAAATAGTCAACCAGTCATTAATATCTTCCAAATAGGAATCCAAACCCTCCAAAAGGTCAACACCCAAGTTCTCATTTTCTCTAACACTACTGACCTCTTGCTCTAATCCATCACTAATTGAAGTGACAACACTACCCACATCTGTCAAACCCACCATAACCTCTTCACTCTATATCTATATCTATATCTGTATATCTTTTTTTGTTTAAAAAAAATAAAATAATTAAAGAAACACCAAGAACACAGAAAATTAAGCTCAATTCAACATTTTAACCGTATAAACTGAAACAAAAACAGAAATTGAACTTCAAATGTAAGAAAAGAGAACTTACAGGCGAAGAAAGATGAACTCAGAATCACTTTTCAACAGTCAAAAAGTGATTCCAAAAGCCCTAAACGACTGTTCAAAGTCCCTGGTTCGCTCTAGCAATGCTTTCTAACACCATTAACCTTAAATATTCAACAGTATGGGGCATTCATTCATAATATCACTTTAATTTATCACATTTATTATAAATATATTAAAATTAATTTTAATGTTCAAGTTTTAAATAAAAATTCAAAAGATAAAATATTATTTATTTAAGATAGTATACATGAAACTAATATTTCAGTTCTCAAAACGATTTGTTAGAAGATTGGGTCACAATTAATGAAAATTATTCCCAAAATCAACAATCTTTCTACTAGTCAAGATGTTCAAACTATTCAACAATTTAATGATGGTTCAATTCATATACACTTTAATTGTCTTCCTAATCACTTATCCCGTCACAGTACTTCTAATGTCCCCACCGACTTAGAAGATGATGAAATATTTAATACACCTCTATTTACTCACAAAGATAGGAAAATTCATCTTTGTAAACATTCAGATAGTAAATTAAAAGAAATAGATAATTCATCTACTTCCCAAGTTAGTAAACAAGTTTATTCAACTTACATACATCTCCATGAAGATGAAACCACATCCCAGGATTCACCTACTCAGATTGATTTTGAAGTCATTCCTCCTGTTAACTCACAATTATTAACTCTTAGTAAACCTTTTACTCCAAATCTTAATAAACTCCATGCTAAATTTAAATCTAAAGCAAATAAGTTTAAACGACAAACCTAGAGAAATAATTATAATGAACACCAACAATCCAAGATTACCAAAAAATGGTATAAATTTATGAACGAAACAAATACTGAAATTCACTTATTTGATTATCTTGAAAATTATTATCAAAAGATAAATACTATTACAAAAACTAAATAGAAAACTTTCCCTAATACTTTTGTTTCTTCCGGTCATCGCCCACTAGAAACTATTATCATTGAACATAAAGGTGCTATTGTACATGTTTCTCCCTTTAAACTTCTTGGCGATGAATCTGAAATCAAAAAAGTAATTGAACAAAATAATTATACCAATCAATATTTAAAAACCATTGGTAAACAATTAGATAAAATATAAACTTCTTTTGAAGATTACTCCACTATCTCTCTCTCTTGCAAATTTCTTAACCTTTGCCTATACACTCTTCATCTTTGCCTATACACTCTTAACCAAACCTCTCCATCCCTGGACGTGTTTTATCTCGGGACATGTGAAGCGAGAGCCCAAGCGGTTTCTCTTGTATCTCAGGACACGTGCCCCTGGGCGTGTTTTATCTTGGGACGTGTGAAGCGTGAGCCCAAGCGGTTTTTCTTGTTTCTTATAATGCATGAAGCGCGAGCTCGAACGATTTTTCTTGTTTTTTGAGACGCGTGAAACGCGACCCTGAACGGTTTTCATTCCTCTTTTTCTCAAGATGCGTGAAGTGCGACCTTGAGCGATTTTCATCTCAAGACACGTGAAAAGCGACTTCGAGCGATTTTTGTTTCTCAGTTTCTCAGGACGTATGAAGTGCAACCCTGAGCTGTGTTTTCTTTTCTCGTCTCGTGTTTTGGCGTGGTCAGAGGGTGTTTTAGATCTTTTTGCATGGAACCTATGTTGGTTTTAAGCTTGAAGTTGCTAGTTCATATGTTGTTATCTCGTTATATTGCTTATTTACTTCTTGCATCATCTTATATGAGCATGAGTTTTCAAAATAGCCGGCTTTGTGAATCGTGTTAGTCCAGCTTTTGAAGTTTTTGTGCATATCATTTGCATCTTGTTCCAGAATTACGCTGATTTGATTCCTTGCAAAAGGATATGTAGGTAGCCTGCAAGCGCAACCATTTATTTCTGTCTTGATTGTTTGTCCAAGTCTTACGGCCTTGTCAAAATGGGTCGTCTTCGGGCTTTGACATTCACTCACGTCATTTCACGACTTCGAGTTTTGTCAAAGAGGAGGGCAACTGTAGACACCACATTTTTGACGACCCTTACGACGTGGACATCATCACTTGCATACCTGATGATGAGTCTATATGCTTGTCAAGTTCTCGAAGTCCTCAGCGGAATGCCATAACTTTGAGCCTTCCAAACCTTGCACCCGTGTTGCCTTGTTTTGGACCAGACCTAGTGATTTTCAAGCCTGCAACCTCTGGTGGCCTATCGGCCATTTCTATAGGCTGCGGGCCATTGCTCTTGGTTGTTGGCCACTGATGTGGCCTGCTAGCCACCATTAGTGGCCGGCCGGCTACCAATGTCTTTTGCCGATATTTTGTGACAGTTGTGCCAACTGTTTGCACAGATGCTTGCATCTACACAACTGTGTATAGCTAGATGTTTATGAGGGAGTAGCTTGGTTTTCTATATATAGATGACCTCCCTCTCATATTTGGAGGTTAGAAAACTTTTTGAGCAAAATTTTTCCGCTCTCTCCACAATTCTATCTCTCTCTCTTGCAAATTTCTTAACCTTTGCCTATACACTCTTCATCTTTGCCTATACACTATTAACCAAACCTCTCCATCTTTGAGCTTAGGTATCTTTGAGCCTTGTTTGAGCTCTTGTGGGTGTGTTTTCCTTGTTTTATTGTCTAGAAGTGATCTCCTCTTCAAGAGGCATAAAGTTTTGCCTTTTTACTTGTTGTATTCACTCTTTTTCTTACTATTTTCCAATGGTTTTTGGCCTGTAAAAACTCTGTATTTTTGGGTTAAAACTTGGGTTTTAAAACCAATAAAGGTTGAGGGGTGGTTCATCCTTCTTTACACCTTCCTTTCAAGGCCTTTACCATTGTGTTTCCTACCTTGTTGTCACCTTTTTTTTTGAGCTTTTAAATACTGAATTTCAGAGTTATTTCAGTGGCTAAAATGATGGTTTGAAGTCCAAAATTAGAGGGGTTAGCCTCCCCTCCTTGTGTCTTGTTCACTAGCTTACATAACTCTATGTTTTAGCTTATTATTCTAGCTATTTTTGTCTTAACTCCAGCATGTTTTTGGAACTTAGTTAGCATTGTTTTAGGACTGTTTTTAAGTGTTCATTGCATTTGAGCCTTATATTGTATGCTTGTAGTGTAATTGTCCTCATAAGTTTGTGTTTTAGGCCTTAGACACCACCTTATTTCAGTTGATTGCATTTATTTAGTGCTTTTCTTACTTGTTCTCACATTTAATCACCTCTGCAACCTCCCTCATTTCTTGACTTTTTCTTTGCTTTGAAAGCGATTTCAAATTATATGTTTGTTTAAGCATGAGATTGAGGTATCATGCTTAATGGTTTAATCCCTTTAGGGGTTCATTACCAACGGTATGATATCTCTTTCATGCCCAAAGAAACACTTGGTTTGAGCCCTCTTTCCATTAGAGGACTTAAATTCACTTTTGGACTTAATTGATTAAAGAATTTAGAGGTAACTAAATGGAATAAAATTGGTGAATAAAAAAGGTGCAAGATAATAATTTGGTTTGAGTTCAATCGGACGTTAATTGAACCCTTGAGTCTTGAGTCGTTTCATACTCATTAGTGATGAAAACGGCTCAAGATTCATTGTCAACTACTTCCCTTGAACTTTCATGATGGGGGGTTGGTTTTGAGATTCTTATTTTATTGCATTCATTGAATTTGCACACTTTGGTTCATAGGCCATCATGCAATGAAATTGCATAGATTGATGGTTCATGAATCAAGTTTTATTACTCCTTTGAGTTGTTCAAATGATAAGGAGGGATAAATTGCGCAAAAAAAACCCTTGAGAATACACCGTCTTTGCTCTATTTGCTCTCTATTGCAGCAGGGAAGTTCAGCCATCAGTGGCCGGTAGGCCACCTTCAGTGGACAACAAGCCATCATTAGTGGACAGCAGGCACTCTGTCGGCCACCAGTGCAAAATCAAACAGTGTCCTTCTAAAACAGAACAGAGTTGGTCTGGAGTTGGAAATTAGTGCAAATGTTCAACTGTGCAACAGAGGCATTCAGCAGCAGAAATAGTGGCTTTTTTGGGTGGAAACCACATTCATGTATGAGCCTTCCATCGATCCTCGAAATCCGTGTTATAAACAGTATTAGTGTTGTGCGTAACATATTGGCTTTGTAATTAATTAGTTAGAATAGATAATTCGTCTCGTGTTGTAATTATTTTAAATTAGCTAGATTAGTTAATTTGGTTTGTAATAATTAGTTAAGTAGTTTAGCTAAATTATTCATTTGTTGTTGTAATAGCTAGGTAATTAGTTAGCTAGTTAGTTCATTCGAACTCTCTTTGGTGAGAGCGCAATGTTGTAATAATGTGTATGTCTTCCAACCCCACGTCTTTCTTCCTTTTATTTACTAGTTTATGATGGTAAGTTTAGGGACATCATGTTTTGTTTAGCATTCTCCATGTTTGCATCCACTTGTATCACATGCACCGAGGCTCGGTTTATTATTCTAACTTGCATTGTTAGTTTAGTGCTTCTTTGAATACGTGCTTAGACCGCATGTTATCAAATTGATTCATATGCCATATTAGTAACCGAGCCTAGTAATTGCATATCATATGTGTTGCATTAGTCATATTGCATAATTAGGAATCATGCATCTTTCTAACTCATTTCTCTTTTGGCTTGGAGTACTAGGTGAGCCTTTACTCGCTTTAGCATAATGCATGTTGATGTTTCCATGTTTAGCATGCTTGCCATGAGGCTAAGTGCTTATCTAATATACTGCTTGAATGTCTGTGGATAGAGGCTAGTTGTTTGAATTGGGATAGATCGATTCATGTACATTTAACCTCACTTTTCGATTGGCACATTCACAAACTCTTTCAAAACAAGCATGAATCAAGTGTTCTAATTCTTACAAATTAGTCTATATTTGTGTGTGTGTACATCACATAGTAATGCTAGCCTAATAATCGGAACAAGAGCATATAACGTAGATAAGATTCATATCATGATTAGTAGAGGTCAATGTGGGCTTGCCTTTTTCTGTGCCCCCGCCTTTCGGAAAGAGTTTAAAAAGAATGCCTCACAGTTCAGACTCCCGCGGTTCTGAATCTAGTCTCACAAGTGTAACGTGAAACTGATAAATACCAAAGAATCCAAATCCGACAAATCTTTTTGAAAAATTAGATTTTAAATCAAACAATGCCAAAAT